CACACACACACACACACACACACACACACACATAATAAATAAATGTAAAAAAAAATTTAAAAAAAAAAAAAGAAGTTATATTTCTGTGCCACTGGGGATGGGCTTTTTTTCCTCTAGCTTCAGGTAATGTTTTGTCCATATGCTAATTTTATGTGAGTACAGGCAGTATGCTAGAAGCCACCCCATTGTGTAGCATACTTTTGATTACCTGGTTATAATTCAGAAAAGCGAAAATCCAAACTAGGAAAACTAATATTTCTATGAAAGTCAGTTTCTTGGTTATTACTTCCTTTTGGAAAATTTTTGTTGTTGTTTTGTTTTATTTTGTTTGGGTTTGGGTTTGATTTTTTGAGACAGGCTGTTATGTGCAGTTCACGGTGGCCTTGAACTCAGTATTTAGCCCAGGTTGGCCTTGAACAGTGATCTTCTCCCTTAGCCCCCAAGTGCTGGGATTATAGGTGTGCGTCATCACGCCTGGCTTTTGTGATTGGTAAGGGGGATGAGGACAGAGTCTCACTACATAGTTCAGGCTGGCCTTGAATTCACTTTGTAGCCCAGGTTGGCCTTGAACTCACAGCAGTCCTCCTGCTTTAGCTTCCTTAGTGTTGGGATTACAGGGGTGCACCATCACAATCAACCTTTTGTGATGTTTTAACAAGTGTACATGAAGTTTTGAAACCTGAATTTCATCATTAGGCACTATGGCCCTTTTTTTTTTTTTTGCTGTTTTGGGAATTGAACTAGGTCCCCAGGCATGCTAGGAAAATAGTGTAGAGCTGAGCTATAACCCTCAATAGCCTTTTTAAAATTTATTTACTTATTTATTTTTTGATACAGGGTCTTGCTAAATTGTGCAGGCTGGCCTTGAACTTGCAGTCATCCTGCCTCAGCCTATGCAGTAGCTGGGATCACAGGTGTGTGCCACCACACTTGGCCAGTAACTGTGCTTGATCGTATTAGTCATTAAAGTTGAATGAGAAAGTTTTATAAATAGTTGCCCATCCGTGGGCTTTATTTGGGCTTGACTGATAGCAGCTTATAAAATGTGTGTTGGGCTGGTGAGATGGCTCAGTGGTCTAAAGCACCTACTTAGAACAAGCTTAGCAAAGCACAGGGACCACGGTTCAGTCCCCCAGCACCACATGTCAGCCAGCCCCACCCCCTGGTGGGCTGAGCTGGCCACACACACACAAAAATAAAATAAATAAATTTTAAAAATAAATAAATAAAATGTGTGTTGGCAAATGGTTTCTTTAAAGGATTAGATAGTAAATATTGTAGATTTTGCAGCACAAAAGGAGCCATGGGAAATACTGAAATGAATGGACATGATTGTGCTCTGGCGAAACGTTACAAAAATTGCAAGTGGGCTTTTTACTTATCCTTCTAGAGTATTGTAACCATAGTGTGTGTTTTCTCTGTCAATTAGTAGTTATCCTCTGCAAATGAGTTTTTTTATTGTTTAGTATGTTTTAGGATTTATTTATTTATTTATTTATTTTGGTACAGTCTCACTACACAGCTTGGACTTGTAGTGATCCTCCAGTTTTCAGCCTTCCCAGCATTGGGATTACAGGCGTGCGCCACCATGCCCAGACTTGGTCGTGGGTTTAGCATGCCTAGGGGCGGGGCCGGAGTGACCTGCAGTACCAGGAGACATGCAGTACCAGGAATTGGTCCCTGAGCTTGCCTCAGCAGGCACTTAGTCCACTGAGCTATCTTGCCAGTCCTGTTTTGGGATTTTTAAATACTAAGTTAATAGGATGCTTTTTTTTTTAATGTATAAAACAAAAATATTTTCTACTCAGAAAGCAACATTTTTGAAACTAATCTTCTAAACTTTTAAAAATGTATTGATACAAAATATATACACAGAGGACTTCTTGCACTTGTTTTCAGCTTGCTTTTTTACTTGATATGGATATTTTTCCATGTCATTATGCCAGCCTACATACTGTGTTTTATGTATTTCATAAGTTAGAAATTCCTGTTGAGGGATATTAATGTTTTTAACTGCTACAACCACTACTGGTATGAAAGAAAGTGAATTTTCAGTTGTTGTATGCATTATTGGAGATTGAACCCAGGGCCTTTGCATTGAGCTAAATCCCCAGCCCTTCGTTAAGATTTTTTTGGCAGAACCAGGGATTGAACTCAGGCCCTTGTGCTTGCCAGACAAGCGCTTATTCTACTGAGCCATCTCCCTGGCCCCCCTTTATTAAAATTTTTTATTTTTGAGGCAGAGTCTTATAAAATTGCCTCTGCTGGGCTCAAACTTGCAAGCTAGAGTGCTTCGATTATAAGTATATTACCATGTCTGACTTTTTGTCTTTATTTTTTTGAGAAAGAATTCCCCTATATTAGGGATGGTGCATTTTTTAGAGCTTTCAGTAATAACAAACAGCTTTTGCAGCAGGCATTGGCCACCACTGCCTTATACAGTTCAGATTGGTCTTTTTCTTTCTTTCTTTTTTTTTTTTTTTTTTTGGAACCGGGGATTGAACTCAGGCCCTTGAGCTTGCCAGGCAAGTATTTATCCTCCTGAGCTATCTCCCCAGCCCTTTTTTTCTTTTTTTGTGGTACCAGGGATTGAACTCAGGATCCTGCACTCGCCAGGCGTGCACTTATTCTAGTGAGCTATCTCCCCAGTCCCTCAGATTGGTCTTAAACTTGCCATGTAGTAGGCTGGCCTCAGCTTCCCCAAGTGCTAGGGATATAGGCATGTCTCACAGTGCCTGGCTACAATGAAAATTCTTTATATGCTGCTTAACGGGTGTGTCCTGAAAAATGTAGTTAATTTTATTACACAAACATCATGAGTTGTGCTTTTACTAACTGATGGCTATGTCATTGGATGATATAATCTTATACAACCACCATTTTATAGGTAGTTTTATCAGTGATGGAAGTGTCACTAGTACATGACTATATACATATTTTGGGATATTCATGCAAGAATTTCTCTTTGATCAATTTGTAGTACAATTATTGGTTATTACTAGATCACCCACAAAAAATTGTATTTGTTTACACTCCCATTTACCACTTATATATTATTAAAGTTAGGATCAAACACTTGATTGTGCATATTTCTCATGTTATAAAATAATCTTTCACAGGGGTGAGGTGGGTGAAAGAACTAAGTCTGTGGAACTAGCTCTGTAAGTAATTGTGATTACCCTTTCTGTATATTGATGTGTATGCCTTTCTCTTTTTGTTGTACACATCCCAAGGTCGCATCCTGAGTCTCAGCTGGCATCCCTCTGGTACCCACATCGCAGCAGGCTCCATAGACTACATTAGTGTGTTTGATGTCAAATCAGGTGACTGTTTTTCTCAATTCATTCAGAATGTGGGGTTTTGTCAGATGGGTTCCAAAAGCTTTACTCTTTGTCATGTTTTCAGTGACCTTGAAGGCCTAACCTGCCCTTAGCCTTCTGTTGATGTCCTCTTGGAATTTTATTTTTCTTAGATTGTTATTGCTTCCTATAGGGAAATCTTAGTTGTTTGGTAGGATGCAGTGTTTTCATCATAATAAGAATTCAAAATAGAATTCATCTTTAATTAATATTACATTAAATGTGAATGACCATTAGAAAACCTATTTGTGGGCTGGGGAGATGGCTCAGTGGAATAAGCGCTTCCCTGGCAAGCGCAAGGGCCTGAGTTCAATCCCTGGTTACGGAAAAAAAAAAAAAAAAAGGTTGAGGGCATCTATGAGAAAAGATATGTGGCGGCTCATCCCTTGATGAATTTTGATTTGAAACTGTCTCATTGCTATTTGTTTATGAATAAAATTATGGCAAAAAAAAAAAGAAAGAAGACCTATTTGTATGTTCCAGTTCTTGGTAAAAATGGAACATAAATCCTGGTAGTATAATTAGTGAGATATGAGATTAGAAAATAAGACAAATTTTTTATTTTAAACATTCTTTTTTTTTTTGGAGCTGGGGATTGAACTCAGGTCCTTGAGCTTGCCGGGCAAGCGCTTATTCTACTGAGCCATCTCCCTGGCCCCCATTCTTTTTTTTTTTTTTTTTTTGGGGGGGGGGTTGTGGTGGTGGTGGTGGTGGTGTTTTCTGTTTTGTCTTTTTCTCTTTTTTTTGTACCAGGGACCAAACTCATGACCTTGCATTTGCCAGGCAGGTGCTTATGCCATTGAGCTATCTCCCCTACCCACCTGATATTTTCTTTCAAGTTTTTTTCTTTCTTTAGTTTGGAAAATTGGCTAATAGTATCTCTGGTAATGAAGTTTTCCTCACCTTACTATATAGCCGTGTCTGTATTTCCAAGATAGGAAGACAAAATATGTCAGACACATTTTTCCTCTACCTTTCTTCAATGCTTAAGGTTTTTAAATTTGTTAGCATTCTTTATACATGTATATAAAGAATTCTTTTAAGTTTTATTACACAAAAAGTTGGTGTCCACCTGTATCTCTTCTCTCCCACTCAAAAGCAATCACTACTTCCCAGGTTCTTTTGGTACTTATCTCTGTGCTGTATGTAGCATACTGAAAATGCTATATTTTGATTTTTTCAGTTTTTATACTATTATTTATTGACTTCTGCAGCAGAGTCCTCTTTTTATCTTTTGGCAGAAGTACCCCACATTCTGATCTTTCTTGTGTGCTAATGTTTAACTTTGTTCAGATTATTAGTCAGTGTTTCCCCTATTATGACTGTATAAATACTTCTCTTAACACAGTAAATTAGTTTTCTGTGTACTTTTTGTTTAATAACGACCCCCACACATCCTCAGATTTTTTCAGTTGTATAAATTTTCGTGGAATACATCTGCTTTTTCATGCTGCTTTTTTGTTTTTGAATAAGTCTCCCCCAGACCTTTTTGACTTGTTCTCATGTAGCTCAGCAATTCTGAGCCGCTGCCAGCTGTAAAGTCTGAATTCGTCTTATCACAGTCAGTAGGTTCCCTTTCATCTCTGTTACATAGGATTCTGTATTTATGTTAACAAATCTGACACTGTTGTGAGAATTCATCTGTTGTACATAGAGAGACCTGAGTTTGTTTGCTGGGAACTTTTGAGTGCTTCACTTATTTATTTACTCCTATTTTGCAGTGCTGGAGATCAGACCCAGAGCCTCATGTATGTTAGGCACGTGTTGTACCACTGAGCTTCAGCCCAGACATTTATCTTTATCATCCTAAAGTTTAGAGATTGGTTTTCTTATAGTTTGGGTCTATTTTTTAGTGTGTGAATCTGTACTGGACACCTAGGAAGTTCTTTTAATCTAAAACTCATGTCTTTCAGTTCTAGGAAATTTTTTTTTTTTCTTCTCAATACAGGAAATTGAGGGCTGGGGAGATGGCTCAGTAGAATAAGTGCTTCCCTGGCAAGCGCAAGGGTGTGAGTTCAATCCCCAGTTCCGCAAAAAAAAAAAATACTAGAAATCGAACTTAAGACATTCTCACTGAGCTGCATTCTCAGCTCCTTTTTCATCTTTTATTTTATGCTGAGATTGGGTTTCAGTAAGTTGCCTAGGCTGGACTTGAATTTGCCCCCAGAGTGCTGTGATTATAGATGTGTACCACATAATCTGGTTTCTAGGGAAAATTTTTTGTAATTAATTTGTAAATTTGTTTCCATTTTCTTTATCTGAATTTTAGTACTGTATTTAGATATTGCTTCTTTCTTCTACTTTTTAAAATCTTTTAGGGGCTGGAGAGATGGCTCAGTGGTCTAAAGCACCTACT